GGCCGAGGCCGCTGCGCAGGGGCGGTGGGTGCGCGGGAAGGCGCTGTGGGGAAGGGCGGTTTAGGAGGTGGTTGGCTCTTCTGGTTCGGCCCCAGTGGCTGCTTGTAGGCACGCCCCTGCGAATGAGTTGGTAGTGGGCAGTAATGAGAGCCCTCCGTGTCCATTTTGACCTGAAGACTGTTTGTCACTCTGCATTTTTAAATTTTCAGTGTGTATTTTTAACTTTAGAGCCGTTTTTAACCTGGCAGGTGGTAAGCTCAGCTCTGTCCTCACTACAAGAAGGACACTGAGGCACTGGAGCATGTCTAGAGAAGAGCTCCAACTGGTGAAGGGTCTGGAGCACAAGTGTTATGAGAAATAGCTGTGGGAACTGGAATTGTTTAGTTCAGAGGAGACTGAGACCTTACCACTCAACAAATACCTGAAAGGACGTTGTAGTGAGGTGGACGTTAGTCTCTTCTCCCATATAACTAGTGATAGGACAAGAGGAAATGGCCTCAAGTTGTGCCAGGGAAGGGTTAGATTGGATATTAGGGAAAATTTCCGTACTGAATGAATGGTCAAGCACTGGAACAGGCTGCCCAGGGAGGTGATGGAGTCACCATCCCTGGAGGTATTCAAGAAGCATGTGGATATGGCACATCAGGACATGGTTTAGTGGGCATGGTGGCTTTAGGTTGATGGTTGAACTTGGTGATCTTAGAGGTCTCTTTCAACTTTAATGAGTCCATGATTCTATGATTATCATACATGTAAGAACTTCCTTCAGTGGCAGCCTTTTAGCAGGGCTCTCTGGCTTCTCAGAACTCCCCAGCGATGGTGGCAGGGATGTGCAGTCTTTGGCCATTTGCTTCAGTAGCCTCCCTAGTTAGTGATGAGCACTGAGGCACTGCTTGTGCTGCGTTAATGCCAGCTGGCTATCGATCTGTGATCCACTATGATCCATTTGGTCATAGGTGTCTCTGGCATGAAAAACACCTTTAAGATAATTATTTCAGTAGTTGTAACTGCACCTCTTCCTAAGCATAGCATCACAGAATGGTTTGAGTTGGAAGGGACCTTAAAGCTCATCCAGTCCAAACCCCCTGCCATGGGCAGGGACACCTCCTGCTAGAGCAGGCTGCTCAAATCCCCAGGCATGGCTGGGTAGTGTGAGTGTTTATATTTCCCCCTCCATTTAGCTAAGTCAGGGTAGCCCATTTGAAGTTACACACTGGTGGCATTAAATTTTAAGGGAAGCTACATCACTGCAATTCTGAGTGACCTGTGGTTTTGGCAATTGTATAGAGTCACCATTATTAAAAAATAATTTCTATACAAAGAGAACAGATGAGTGGTATCCATATGGTGTGCCATTTCTTTAATCTTTTGGGTTTAAATAGTTGTCAGAGTCCTCAGCTGCTACTGACTTGAGAGATTCATTTTCTTGTGGAACTGACATTTTCCAAGGAAAAGCAGTGAGTCTGTCCTGAGAGCAATCCTTCGAGCAACATATAAATGGAGTGATTAAGCCACTGGATGCACTTCTCTGTAATTATAAGCAATTACTTTAAAGTCAAATCTGCAAATGAGAATACCTCTGTGTACTGAAGGGAAAGATGTAAAAAGCTACTGAAGTGGCTATCTTTAAGATGACATTAAATCAGTGCTTGTTTCTAAAGACAGGAATAAAAAGATAAAATAATGTTTTTTTTTTAAAGTGAACTTGCGGGTTAGCTTGACACCAAACCTGACTCAGTAATACCATGAAGGGATATTTTACAATAAAAACTTCTAAATATTTTTAGTAATGCATTTTAATTAGCAAATAAAGTGAAAACTTTATTTTCTGCTGTCTCAAAATCTAAGTGAAAGTGTAAATGCTGTAATATTTGCAAAAATAAACCCATCAATGTGTAGAAAAATCTTTAGTATACATCAACGCTAATTTGTAGATACTGAAAAATACCTCTCGTAACTATTTTTTTACTGTTTTATGCTTGAACTTGATCCAGCATTCTTGTATCTTTTCAGTATTGCATTACTGGGTTTTTTTTTAGGAGTTCTTGAGTGAGTTTCTAAAGTCGCTAATAAGCTTCTTATAAAATAACGTTTGCTGTCTTCTATTTCTGTCATACCTCATTTAGATGATCCTATACACGTGTATGCTTAATTAAGGCTTTTCATTAAAATAAGCCTTTAATCCAAAGGTGCTGGGCCTTAATTGAAACTCAGAGATTAGTGATGTCTCTTATTTTAGTTTTCACTTTTCCTGTACTTCCTACTGCTTCTAAACTAAAATGTCTGCATTAGCCTTAGCTGATACATGGTAAGGAAGAAATTAAAATTCATACTGCAGTCTGCTGGAGAGTAACACAGCTCAGTAATTGCCATTTCTTATTAAGTGCCACCTTTTACCAAGCGCCTCCACTTCAAATGCAAAAGGTTGCGTTAAGCACTCTAAGGACATTAACATAATGAACACGCTGCCTGTTTCGAAGGTGACTAGTAAGTGACTAATGATACCTGTTTTTATCCGTGTGTATTATTTAAAAATGTTAATTGTATGTTTAAATAGTGCTGAAGTCATGGATTTGTCTAGAATGGTTGAGTTTTACAGAAATATTTTTAAAAAGATATAGGAAAAGTTAGATTTTTATCCGCAGGTTAGCAGCACCCTTCTGAGGTACCATAAGGTGTAGTAAGTTTTAAAGCCTTTTTGAAGAAGCAGGACAGATAGAGCAGCTTCTGGTCTTTTCAAACAAAATGCACTAGCAGAAGAGCAAATCCATTTTCTTATAGAGCTGCAACTGAGCATGGTACCACTATTTAGCAGAGGTAGGTGGCCTACTGCCATCAGTAGCAGGAGAGTAACTTCTCAGGAAGAGCTGGTAAATTGTGTGAGTTGAATAAATTTGATACAGAAGCAGCAATGATGGGGCAGAGGTTTGAAGTAAACTTTCCAGTATGATGATTGTAATGAGCCTCACTGAAACTGGGTCTTCACACCATGATGTTGTCTGTAATATCTTTTTATACTTTGCCATGCTGCAGAATGTAATAAAAATATTAATGTATTTGAAAGGAATATAGTACTGTGGTGGAGATGACTTCAAATTGATCAACATTTGAATGGCAGTTTGAAAAGAATGTGTTATAAAAATGTATGTTGAGATGATAGATAAAGCCTGTGTCATAAACAGCAAGAATGGTGAGTGCTATCCTCTTTGTAAGCTTATCCTTGGAAGGGTCAGGCTGTAGTGTTGTTATTGGGCTGTGTTATTGTCCCCAAACTAAGCTCCACAGTATGGACAGAGAATAGGATATGTAATGTCCTTTGCATCTGT